CCCCAAAACCCCAAAACCCCAAAACCCCTCTATGACAATTTCATTATATTTTGCATCAAATAGAATTAAATGTATTTTACCAGATACACACTTATTAGATAACACTCTTTTATATTTTTCAACATGATCTCATTTATAGTTCAAAGCTTAAAGAATTCATGATTAAGAACTTCAAAGATAGTAAGTCTTTGCATTGGGTTTTTCTCAAGTACTTTAAGAATAAGGTCAGATAGTTCTGGGCTAAAAGTCTCAGGAATTTCAACTTCTTTCGTGCGAGAATTTATTTGCATTTCAAGTTCTCCCCCGCTAGCATAGAATGGCACAATGCCTTATACATAAGCATACAGACTAACACCAAACGACCAAACATCAGTAGGCTTTGGACGATAACCCTCTTATGAAACTATGTGACACTCAGGTGCAGTAAATGAAGGAGTGCCTTCTGAGTCAAATAGTCTAGTTTCATCCGCGATGTCAGATCTTGCAACTGTAAAATCAGTCAGTTTCAATTTCAAGTCCTTGCTTGATAATAAGATATTGTCAAGTTTGATATCTCTGTGAATAATACTACACTCTTCGTGTAGATGATAGATTGATTAAGCCAATTAACGAAAGATGAATTTAGCTATTTGCTCAACTTCTCTTTTAGATGCATCAAATACCTAAGTTTCTTTGAGGTGATTTAAAACTGACTCATATATTGCTTGATTGCGAATATATAGCTCTTGTTTGAAGTCCCAGCTTGCCAGCTAGCCTAAATCTGCTAACTCTAGAATGATATAAAGGTAATCATGGTCATCAGCATCAATTAATTCATAAATTTTGACAACATTTTCATAGTTTATCTTTGCCCAGACTTCAATTTCATTATAAACCTGTAAATTTAAGTCATGATATTTACCTTATCAAGATTATTGATCATTTCCATCTAACCCTATTAATCATATCTAATAGCTCTTTCTTTTCTCAGAGTGGGCTTATGCATCATCTAAACAGAAAATTCATTCTTGCACTCAATTATATACTTACCTTCATAGCATAAGATTCTTCATACTAGTTTCCGTTCTCCTCATATTATCTTATTACCAATTTGACTTTACTATAGGCACCTTTTCCAATACTTTTCAAGATTTTAAACTCATTTACATATTTGTCTTCCTTTTATGTATTAAACTAAGTCATTAGTCTTACCCCTTGAATTTTGATCTTTACTTCATCAGTCCAATAAAGATTTTTCCCAAGATCTAGCTCTCGATTTTAGTTAAGACGCATGTCCTGTAGATTTAACTTTTCCTCCTCTCTTTCCATTTAAATTTGAGAATCAAATTAATACTTATTTTAGCTTTAGCATTTTACTAAATTAGTTTCTCGGGGTTTTGGGGTTTTGGGGTTTTGGGGTTTTGGGG